TATATATATATTCACACACAAAATATAGGCAGTAGATTGGGAAATTCATGCTTATTGACTAAGGAAAGTAATATTTTACATTCAAATGACATCCTGGCTCATGCTATCCCATTTATGATGCGAGTAAGTTGGAAGGAATGGTATATTGTTAGATTTAGAGAAAAATGGATGCATTCATCCAGTGATAAGGAAAATAGTTCTCCTGACTCCAGTAACCCAGAAGTCTTATTGGATACAGGGAAGTATTTGAGAATTCCTCCCCACACTCGGCCCCTAGAGCTCACAAAGAAGAGATGTTCTTTCTTTCTCTTTCTACAGCCAATTTCAGCCTCCACGAATACTCTGGAAAGATAAAACTGGTATAGTTGAGAATGTTATCAACCTTTTTTAGGATATAAGGCATATACAAGAGAATACAATATGACTAAGACTGAGAAAATCAGTGAAAAACATGTTTAATATTGAAACCAGGATTATTTCGGTTTTTGTCTTTCAGCGAAAGTAGAACTTGTGGAAAGAAAAAGGATTATGTTAGTTGTAATAATGACATGATAAAATTTAATTAAGTAATGACAAAATGAAGAATAAACAATTATGACTAAAAGAATGAAGCTATTTTCTTCATCAGATATAAATACATGATTGTTGATGTTACATAGATTTAATATCCTACTAAGAAACATGATGAAACTAAAATAAAACAAGCCTAAGACAGTGTTGGTTGTAAAGTACATCCTCATTTTAGAGATTTTTAAAATGAGAGGAAAGAAGTTGTTTTAGAATTGACAAAATTGAGCAGTCCTTCAGAGACAGAGTTCTGGACCTGTAAACCTGTGCTTTAAGAGAATGATCCTTAAAAGGTATTTTTGTGGGAAGGGAATCAAGAGCTGGAGGAGGGAGGAAAGAACTGATGTGGGGGAGGATATGGAAAAGAAAATTCAGATGTGTTATGTACATGTACCAACTCCACACTAGGAATGCAATTGTTATATACTTCAGACACCTGCTAATAAAACACAAAGAAGCATTTTGTTACTTTTGCATATTTTTAGGAAAGATGTGTCCAAATGCACAAGCCAGAAACCTGATTGGCTAAAACCTCAAAGATGATCCCGTGGGAAATTTAAAAAATATTTGCCTTAATCTCCCAAAACATTCTGCTAAGCACCATTGTGCTTATATGATGCTGTGAGTCAGAAGAGGAAGTCATCCAGCCTCTCTTCATTGTTCTTGTTGAAAGTAATGACTATGACACATAGGAGGAGAAACACATATGTGAAAACTGATGGCTGTGTCTCCTCTTTGCACAGATACGTGTGTCACAGACCTGCTGATAACTGCTGTAAGTGATATATGCAAAGAACCAGAAATAGCAAACGTGATTCCTACTCAAAGGAAGAACAGTGTGCATTACAGAGGCCCATTAGGATATCAGAGCTATTGGGTGGAAACTGAAATTTAGGAAGGCAACTCAAAGCTAGAGTACGATTATTTCCAAAGCATGGGCTGTGCAGATAGTGAGAAAGGCATTCGGAACAGTTTGTCAATGCCAGGCTGCGCGTGCTGTGTCCTGTCGGCCCACTGCCAGGAGTGGTGGGGGCAGCAACGGGGCCAAACCTGCTCTGTGCTGATAGCATGTGACATGCATTATCTTATGGCACAGAATGTTACTATCAATCTTTTTTTGGGGGGTACCGGGGATTGAACTTGGGTCCTTACGCTTGCAAGGCAGGCCACCGAACTGCTGAGCTAAATCCCCGGCCCCTACTATCAATCTTTAATTGCCAAAAGGTACACATTAAAGGACAATAATCTCTAAATGCTTATCATACGTTCAGAGATAATTCAGACAATCGCCAAAGCCGTATATTTGACTTCAAGGCTTTTGATTCACAATGGACCAAGATTTGGAGAAGCACTGATTTCTCAGGTTTCCATTTTCACTGATAGAAAATTTCTCAGTTCTTTAGGTGCAATCAAATTCAATATTCTGCCATCATTTTTGAGTTGGGTATTTATAGAATCTAATGGCAGTTATAAATGGTAGACAAGGTTAGAATATCCTACTGCATTTATATCAGGAAAATAAAGGCATAAAATCAGCCAAACTGATAGACTTCTGAGCTGTTTAAGAATTCTTCAATATCATTTCAGTGCATGATTCACTATTCAGGGTTACAGACATGATATTCAAGTTAGGTGAGTACAGATATTCATCTTTTTATCTTCTAAAGCCTGTATGCAATTTGCTTACTGTGTATCAAGTACTGTGTTGACAGATTCAGTGAGATATTTTTTAATCTCAAAAATATTCTGATTTTTAAGATCTTAAGCTTATTTTGACAAATTATTTTAACAAAATCATCATCTTTTTTAGGGGGGTTAAATATTTTAATAGGATAGTATGTTAAAATGAAATAGCTTCTAATTTTGACACCAATTACATTGTCACAATCTAACTTTATATTTAAAATTAGGACTTTGCAACATTAAAAGATGAAAACTATAAAAATCTATGTAAACAGAACACTTAAGCAAATAAATGCACAGCTTTTGTGTGTATGTGTGTTTGCGTGTTTGTGTGTGTAGCACGAGAGATTTAGCCCAGGGCCTTCACGGTGAGCCATCTCCCCACCCATTTTTTATTTTTAAATTTCAGACAGGATCTCATTAAGCTACCCTGGCCGGGCTCTCATGCGGCAATCCTTCCAGAAGGCTGGGATCACAGACCTGCACCAACACACTCATCTTGCACAATAAATTTATATGATAGATTTTCGTGCAAAGAATCAGTGTTTTTTCTCTAGTGCTAGTTATTTTCATAGTCACATCAGAACGCTTTTAGCATTATAATGCCATGCTAGTTGTCTTCATGGTCACTTCAGAATGCATTTAATTAGCGTAATAATCCTATTAAAATGATTGTCACATTTTTCAGGTGAGGAAGTTGAAATATGGAAAGGTGAAGAGACTTGCCCAAGACCACACAGCTAATTAAATGAGTGTGCTAAGATTTCAACACACTCTTCAGGTTTCAGTCTAAACTTTTCCATACCGTTTTATGTGCTGGTAACTAAACCAACTGTTTAAACCTATTGAAGAAACAATGGCCAGTCCATTTTAGGATTCCAATAAAAGTACAGTCAACAATAACTTTCTTCTAAAAGTGACTTGTTGCCATAGACCAAAAGAGTTGTTATATGCAATTGTTCTTTGTAGTTAATAGCTACTCTGTTTTATGTAGTTTCTCATAAGCACACCAAAGTTAATATCAATTAGAAATGAGGAGAAAAATTATTTTGGGTAGCATAACATCTGACGGATGCTTTAGTAAATAAAACATTGCCAAAGAGCTAAAATAGTTTTACTCTGCTAAAACTTTCCTATCTTTCTGACTTTTTTTCAAAGGTGTTAACTGTGAATTACAAATGAATGAATGTCGGTCCCAGCCCTGTCACAATGGTGCAGCTTGTCCGGGTGCCTTGGGTGCTTCTTTCTGTGACTGCGCCCCTGGATTCCTAGGGGCTCACTGTGAACTCCAAGTTGATGAGGGTGCCGGTCAGCCATGTCTCCATGGGGGGCTGTGTGTGGACGGGATCAACAGGTGTCTTCTGCAACTGGCTGGTATCTCAGAGACTATCGTGCCACTCGGGTGAACGTAAACAACTTCTGCTTAAAATTCTCCAATTACGTTATACTTAAATGACAAAAAGTCGTGGCATTCATATTTTACTAAAAAGTGTATTCTTTGGAGATACGTTTCTTAGTGAGAATTTTCCAAGTTACTCTTAAAACACGATAGCTTAGAACTGCTTATGTTATGAAAATTGTCCGCTTTTCATTTCTGTGAAATAAACCTGTTGCAAATGGGCAAGATGCAAAAACAAAGGTAAACACTATTAAAATTGTGAATATGTCTATATGATGACAAGTGGTAAAAATAAATCTTTTAGAAATTTTATATGAACAGTGTTCAAGAGGGCAATAAGATTGAACAATTCACATCTGGAATTCCCAGGAATACAGGAAAATGGGAGAATACCTTTGAGAAAGTATAGTGGTTAGAAGTAAGCATATCATATTTCTCCAAATCAACTTCGATCACTGTCTTCCTGGCAGAAAGACCAACAATATGCTCTACCTTAATATGTTAAATATAGATTTGTGTTATGTTAGTTGAGCTCACATAAAATATTTTGGAAAGAACTTTCCAGTACTTCGGAAAATAACTGTATCATGAAATGCATTAGGAATATTTGACAGCATTGCATTTCAAATTATCTTTTTTGATCCTTCAACAGCGGAATGGAAGATAAGTTGAGCATTAATGTTCCCACATTCCAATAAAATATCAAAGTATACCGAAGATGATTTCCACAAATTTGCACAGTTCTTTGCAAAAGAAGAAGCAAAATTTAAATTTCCTTTATTTAGTAAATAAGACATCATTTATCTCAAGTTTAATTTTAAAGTGAATGAGACTTAAAAAGGAGAGACATAAAAAGCATCTACAGTAGCAGATGTATTTTCTACAATACGAAAGCCTTGACGAGATCTCACCTAAAGAGAAGATTTCCCCTCTTCATAAAGTCAGCGGTTCTCTCCATTAGATTTGTATTTGGGGACTGGCAGATATTTTCACACAATCAATGAATGATTTGTAACAGTAAGACTATAATATTCTTTTAATTTAAAAATAAGAGAACATTACATTTCACTATTTAATGAGTGTTTTTCCTGAGTTTTTCATAATTTATTGCTTCATTCTTTCATAAGGAACCTTTTATGGTACAAATCATTCTCTACTACTATCAATAATATGAACAATTTTGCTTAGTACTATTTAATCAAAATTTATTTAGTACCTTGGGATCGTTGAGGTACTGCATCTATTTTATATGTACATTTAACTATTACAATAATGCTGTAACGTAAGTACTATTATCTTAAATTTATGGGTGAAAGAACTGAAGAAAACCATCGTGGTTTCCAAATAATTTTACTCGAAGCTTTACTATAATTTTAAAAAAGATAATGAGAAGACATTAATATAAAAATGCATAATGCATTCAGATCTGTAGACATAAGTTCCCAGTGAGGTAAGTATTAAGATGAAGCCATAGGTCGTGGGTTAATGGACAAAATCAGAAATAGAATCCCCGGTGCACAACTGTAATCCCAGCACTCTGGGAGGCTGGGGCAGGAAGGTTGCCAGTTCAAGCTCAGTCTGGGCAACCTCGTGATTTAGTAAAGACCTTTTAACAAAAAAGGTGCGGGCAGGGGCTAAAGCTCACTGAGAAGGCTGAGACTGAGGATGTGGATAAAAATACTTGATTTCCATTTGACTACAAGGTGATGTGAAATTTTCATTTACCCTTCAGATATAGCTGTGACTGTTTGGGCAGTGAATTCACAGGGACACACTTCGAGCCCTGCTGCCTCTCTGTTGGTCAAAACCTTGTCACGATGATGCTACCTGTGAAGACAGTGTTGACAATTACCTTTGTCACTGTTGGCCCGGTAAGTGACAAAATAGATTACACTTACTTTTTATAGCTCACACTTTCTCTTTTGCTTAGAATAGAAACAAGCTAGTTACAGAAAATGAAGCTAAAAATACTTGTCATAAAAGTTTGAAACCAATTCTTTCCTCCAGTGATCATCTCTAAGAGTATTCTTCAATGCTCACACTTACTTCCGGTCACACTACACACTGTGTACAGTTGTAGATTAATACACCCAATGATCAGAGCCACTTAGAAGAAAAAGAAGGTGGAAAATCAATAGAAAGGTAAAAATCAGCATGTTCTTGGTGGAGAATGATTCACTGGGAGGTGATTTCTGTTTCTTTAAGATGTTCTCTTAGGCTACAGAAATATATAGAAACCCATGAAACAACATTAAAATTCTAGGATCTTGTCTTATAATTCACAAAGCTTCTTGATATCATAATGATGGCACTCCTAGAGAATAAAAGATTTTGCAGAAATAGGAGTACTATCCTAGGCATTTATAAGGTCAAGGAAAATATAAGTTAAGCATATAAAACCATAACTAAAAATCACATGTAAAAGGTAATGAGACTTGAGTGGACAGGAGATACAAGAACAAATAGAAAGCAGTACATAAAACTTGAGTTACCTTACTGGCCTCCAAAAAATGCTGATTTTAATTCGGGTGAATAACTCACTTGACTTTTTATCTATTTAACTATGATTTTATGAATAGAAATGAAAAGTACAGCATCTCCTCTCTTTTCTTTCTTGATCTGATGGAGGAAAATGAAAAACAGTTATTCAAGGTCTAGTTGTAGAAGCTTACTCATCATCTTCCTATCACCATTCATTTATTTAAAGATGGGATAACCCTGTGGGTAGAAAGAAAACATGCAGAATAGAGTCTATCCCATCAGTAGTCGCTTCTGCTTGTCATTGTCTGAGGGACATTTGACATCTTTGGTTAAATATAATTCTGTAGATTAAAAAAACTAAAAGTATAACTTGGTTTTCTCTTGTAACTTGGAAATGTGTGTGTCTTACGTGTTCCCACTTCAAACAGTAAATAGGGGACATTGACCATCTTTTAATCATCAATCTGACTTAAATACTGAAAACTTCCCAGAATATGTTAAGATGCAGGCTCTCTGCCCAGAAACAGGGGCTAAAGTAGATGATTTGGGAATAGAATAAATCTACCACAAGCTGAGTAAATTTGAATGAGTTGCCTCTCGATCCTTACATTCCTCACTTGAAGAAGAGGCTAAAAATACTTTATTGGTAGTATTGTTCCAAAGAGCAACACTATAAAAACAGAGTCTGTAATATATTAAGCAGCCTAAAAAGGATAAATTTACTATACGCCAACTTATACACCATAAGCTGGGATTTGTGTATGCCTGTGAGATAGATGCTGTTCCTCAGGGGTTGTATAATGGAGTCCAGGAGTTGGGAAATTTGTCTTAAAAGGAAAAAAGATGGAAGCTGGGTTGTCGAGATGCTCACCTGTAATTCCAGCACTCTTGGGAGACAGAGGCAAGTTTGAGCCCAGCCTGAGGGATTTGGTGAGAAATTGGCTCAAAGGGCAGAGTGAAAAAAGTCTGGAGAGGTAGCTTAGTGCAAAGGCTCTGGGTTCAATTCCCATTACCTCAAAAACAAAACAAAACAAAACAAAAAACCTGCATATGTTCCCTTTGGAATTAATCATTTAGGCCACTTGGATTTCAGTGACAAGTTTACATGTGTTAGGACCTGGGAATTAAAAAAAACAAAACAAAAAACCAAACGTTGTCCCTTCTTCCAAAGAGCTAATTCTAGTATCCCTATGAGACTGTGCAAAAACACATGTAGCATGAGTTTTTGCCATTAAGAAGCTATAACAAATAGTGTAAAGGAAATAAAGAGAGAAGCTCAGGAGTGGATTGACCAAAAAGGCATCATTTTAGAATACTTGAAAGATGACTGGACATGTACCAGAAATGTGTGCATTAGCAGTATGACTGTGGACAAGTGAATTCTCTGAATCCTCATTTACAACTCAGAGATGCTGGAAATAATATCTACTTTACAGCGTTTTAAAATAGAGAAATCCATAAATATGTACAAAGTGCCTAGCTCAGCCTGCTTCGTAGAATGCTTTCAATAAAAACTCACTAGATACCAAAGTTAGGAGGCTGACCTTTCCGGACCCTGCGGGTAGCAACAAGTAAAACCCATAACTTATTTAGGGAAAGAAAAAAGTAAAATGGAGGAGGAAGAAGGAGCAAGAAACAGTGGAAGATACACATAAAAAGAAGTTTCAACTGTGGAGCTTTTAAGTGATGACTGGACTACATACAGCTTGTGTTACGGAGATGGATCTGGGCAAGATGGAAGCCCCTTCACAGAGCTGCTTGTCTGCCTTGTAATCTGTGGTACAGGGAGTTACACGATCTGACCTGCGAATTTTAAAGGAGCTCCCTGGCAGCTTTGTGAAAGGCGACTGAGAGAGCTATACCCAGAGACAGGGAATCTAGTGAGAGGATTCTGCAGGAGTTTAAATGCAGCTGAGTCCCAGAATGAAGGCATCAGTCATGGGTGTGTACAAGGGGATGGACAGTTGGGAGGGTCATATAAAATAACATGGATCAGATTGAGGACAGTCCTGCCTCCAGGTTTCTGTCTTAGGTCACTGAATGTTGATGGTTTTGTTAGAAAATTCAGAATGTGTTTGTACTCTTCTATTCTATTTATTTATTTATTTATTTGGTACCAGGGATCGAACTTGGGCCCTTGCGCTTGCGAGGCAGGTGGCAGCACCACTGAGCTAAATCCCCAGCCCTCTATTCTAGTCTATATAAAGAAGATACCAATACATCTAAGGAAAGAAGACAATTCATTTGGATCATGATACCACTGCAACAGCATGCAAGGGCAAGAACCCATTGCTGTGTCTATAGTCTTCATTTCAAAAGATACATTCTGAGAAGTCGTCAACTTAAATGCTTATCTTAGAAGTTTTCCTCATGCCCAGATGTGACTGGATATGCTAAAAACAAACTTAACATAAAAACCCTGAGACTTGATCCAGTATTGTATTTCTTCTTTGTTCAGAGTTTTATGGAAAACTTATTAAAACTGTCGAATACAGTCTCGACTGAAGGAGTCTATTTATATCTGCGGTTAAGGAGAACAGCAAATAAAATCCCCACAGGGCCTCAGTGGTGGGGACAGGACTGGCAAAACTATAAATCAAAACCGTCCTAATGTTCAGGATTGGAATGAGATAATGCATGAGCCAGAAAAGCAAAAGAAAAAAAAAAGGATTTATGACGCTTCTAAATTACTTTCTAACCTGGCCTATGTATGAGTGAGTCTTGAATCTTAGAATGAAAAGATAATTGGAAATAGGCCAGGCTTCCTTCAATAAGTCCACTGTAACACACACACAAAATCCAGTTTATAAAAATCTTTGGTGAAAATTATTATTTATTGCATGCTTGCATAAGCTAAAAGAAGTATGCTAAAAGTGCTTAAAAAGTAGTCATTCAAGTTTGCGAGACTGCAAGTGTTCCTTGTGGGAGGTCACTCCTTGTGAGCTCTTGATCTGACAAGTTCATTTAGTTTATTTATTTATTTTTTACTCTTAAGTTTCTTCTTCAGATGACTGAGAAAGACCCCAAGGGTCAGATGTAACAAATGTATCATGCTATTGAGCAACAGAATTTGTGTTGTAATTATTTGACATAGGACCTGTTCAGATTTTGATTAAAGTTATAAAATGAGCAATCACATTTTCTTCCTTATTACTAGTCAAATTTCTGGTTTATGTGCTAAGACAGAATTATAATGCAAATTGTTGCTATTATCAACCACTACCTCCTACTATTTTATTCTTTAATTTTTCATGGGTTCAAGGTCTAATTGCTCAGTACTGGGCTGGTAAATAGAATAACACAGACCCTGTCTTTGTAAAGCTTAGTGTCAGCCGAGGGAGACGATATATACATATTAGTTACATACATAGTTAGATACATACATAAGTTAGATACATACATAAGTTACATACATTAGTTAGATACATACATAATTAAATATTATGAAAGGTGCAGTGACAGAAAAGCATTTGATGGTGTGAGAGAAACGAGGTGATCTTTCTTAGATGTGTTCGTGAGGGCAAGGAATTCTGACACAGGGATGCCAAGCACAGTCTGAAAATTGAGACAGCGCTGGCCAAGCAAAGGCGTGGAGGAGTTTCCTAGGGAAGAGAGCAGCATTACGAAGGCCAGGGTGTGTAGAAGACATTCTCGGGTGGAGGATGGTGAACCGGGTCAATGTGGAGACGGAAAGGGGCTTATATAATGAGGAAGCTCTTGGGTCACATCACGGATTTTGAATTTTATCCAGTGTACGAAGGAAACCATGGTTTGATTGAAAAATAGAAAAATTATAATTTGATTTGTGGGAAGCCAGCCATGGCCCATTGGCTTTTTCTTTGCCTTAATTCCTTTCTCACTGAGTAAAGACTGAATTGCTGTGCTAAATTTCATCTTAGATCCTATATGCCCCATTGGTACCTGCTTCTCCGAGGATTTTCCCCGCCAGGCGTTCCAGACAGCGGTGTCCTCCTTGTTTCGACTCGGCCTCAGTACAGTTACATTCATTGTTGGGATCATGTACCTCTACATGACAAGTCTTGATTCTCATTTTTTCCCCTTACCCCTGCCCTCCCTTCACCCCCTCCTCCCCTCCCCATCTACAAATACTTTATTTTCATCTTTTCATTATCTCACATTTTTTTCTTTTCCCTTATTACTCTTCCCCTACCCATCCCACCTTCCCTACACCTTTAGCTCCTTTCTTCCCATTTCTAAATGTCAGTAATCTTATTAGAATCTTATGCATTGTTGCAGAATATCCGAGTCCTTTTTGATAGCAGGCTTCTTCTGATTACTCACCGCTGGCCGCTTCAATTTCAGGTTCCTGTTCGGGCGTCACTTGTCGCGAACCGGCTACGCAGAGCACTGTCCAGCAGTGACTCAAACCTGAAAGAGCAGTGAGGTGGAGATGGGGCAGAGAGAAAGGAAGGACGCCAAGACAAGAGTCTGATCAAGGCGACGTTTATTGCAAACAAGCATCAGCCTTTTAAAGGCACATCAACAGGAAACACCTGACTCCTACAGCTAACGTCAGAGCTTTAACAGGAAGTACCTGACTCCTACAGATCTTTGGCTGTCCGAGTTTCTCTCGTGCAGGGTCAGAAACAAGTTTAACACGTGCAGTCCTTAAAGAGGAACAAATGTTATCTTTCAAAAAGCCAATGGGCCATGGCTGGCTTCCCACATTGATTTATAACTTTTATCATTTTGGACTGTAAGTTTTGTTTAAATTCGTGTTTCTCAGCAGATTTTGTAACATTACAGAGTCACTTATATTGTAGATCTAATTATGTTTAAGAAACTTCATATATTTGTCCATCTCACAAAATGGCTGAGGTTATTTTATTATCCATCAACATTATATTAATGTTTCCCTAAATTTACATTTGGGAGCTACCATGACACACAGCATATAAATAATAATTAATCGGTTAGAAAAACAGCCTAATAAAAAAGCAGGAAAATGTTATAAAACATTTTGGGATCAACAAATGTTAAACTCAGTAGTAGCTGGGGAAAATGTAAGTTAAAACAAGGTATTTTTTATCCAACCAACTGCCAAAAATTTTTATATTTAAAGACATTAAATAATAGGAAGGATCTGGGCCATTTGTCCACTTGCTGGTCATACGTATATGCAGGACTACTTTAAAGGCATTTTCCAGTCTACCAAAAAACGTACATAACCTATAACCTAGAAATTCCATTTGTAAGCATAAACTCTAGGATCTTACTCAAACACACATTAGCATGAGTATTGTTAATCACTGCAATTATTGTAGTAGGAAAAACACATATAAAACCAGTAAATGAATGGTTAAACCATGGTACACCCATATTTTGGCATACTTGGCAGTAGTTAAAAATTCCGAATGGGCTCCATCTAACCCACATATGTAGATTGTGCAAGGTAGTGAATAAACAAGTTGCAGAGGGATGCATGTAGTACAATTCCAGTTACGTAAAAAATACACACACAGTGGAACTATATATTTTTAATGGGTATATAGGTATGTCAAAGCAAAGAAACAATTTGGATAGGGAGATTTGTTTTATATTTAAAAATCTAATGTTTTATAAAGTGGTAAGTCATTGATTTTTTCTAAATTCCTGGCTTTAGTATTATGATTTGGCTGATTCCATACAAACATAAAATAATATATTTTACTGAGTCTTAAAAAATAACTTCTTTAATAAGATGTAAAAGAAACATTCAGGGTTGACTCTGTGGATACTTTTTAGCTACTCTCTGTAGAAACTTACTTCTTGATAAAAATTCAAACATTTGGAATATTTGTCAAATTAAAGCCATGGGCGTTCCACTTTAGTGAATGTTCTGATTAAAATATTCAGGTTGAATCAAGGTTTCCCTGAGGTCCCGCTTAACTTCAAGTTTCACCAATGAAATCTTTCTAAAAATACCAGTCAGGATTACACCACTAATTCCGTCGCTAGTCGTAACTGTTTGCACGTAAGCCTTCTCCTACCAGCTCCCCTCTGTCTCTTTGAGGGCGGCCTGCTCCGCAGAGAGCCTCCTCGCAGGCCGGTGCTCTACGGTCTGAGAGCTCAAACTCAGCGGTTTCTCTGAACTTCCGTCCTGCAGGGTACACAGGTGCCCCGTGTGAGACAGACATAGCAGGTGCAGGAGCCGTCCCCGCCAGTGCGGTGGGCAGTGTGTGCAGCTGTCCCGGAGAAGCGATCCGGAGGGCGCCTCGCCCAGCTGCCTTCTTCACGCAGCTCGCACAGCCTCGCAGGCTATGTTTGTATTTGTCGGCCTGGATTCCCAGGGGAGGCCAAGGAGAAGGGAGATGCCTTTCTGCGTTGTCTGGCAGATCAGGGATTTAACCAAACGCTGTTTTAGCAGTAAGACTTGCGCTGTGTAAACTCTGTGGCCATGGTACAAAGGGGCCCCCTTGTGGGCGTGAAAAATATCTCGGTTCATGGGTCACAGTCCCTTGACTCATGAGGAAAATGCGAAAAATAGGGGTGGAAGAGGTGTACGTTCATACGTTCTCCTGGGAATTGCAGCACATTTCAAATTCTTTGCTTTCTAAACCAAAAATATCAGAATTTTTGTTCTTAAAATTTTTTTTCTTTAATTGAGTTTATTGGTACATTTTAGGGATACAGTACAGTTACATTCATTGTTGGGATCTTGTACCTCTACATGACAGGTCTTGATTCATTTTTCCCCTTACCCCTGTCTTCCCTTCACCCCCTCCTCCCCTCCCCATCTACAAACACTTTATTTCCATCTTTTCATTATCTCACATTTTTTCTTTTCCCTTATTACCCTTCCCCTACCCATCCCACCTTCCCTAAAAATTTTTTTATAAATAGTGTTGTTTTATGTCAGTCAGTTTGCTAAGGGTTATATTTATTTATATTTACTTCGGAACCAGTTATCTACTTTCAGGGAATCTCCCTCAGCTCTTCTACAGCTAAAGTCATTTCCATACGTTAAATTTAAATTACTACTCTATCTTTATTTACAGCATTCTTACTCTAAAAGCCGAAGGAAATTTGCATGTATGTTTTACAGTAAGCAATTGTGTTTGTGTCTTGTTTCATTTTGGGAAAACGCTCATGATTTTCAATTCCCAGGGTGTTAACAAGCATAAATTTTCCCAGGACTGCATAAATATCAGTGAAAAAGCTAATTAAAATTTAGATTTCTGCCTCATTTTTTTCTCAATAGATTAAATAAATACTTTGGAGAAATATTTCAGTTATATTGAGATTTCTAAGGAAAGTAAAAAAAGGTAAGAAAAGAAGGAGGTCTGTTTACACATAGGTTTCTCTTTCTTCTAATATTTCAATTTTAAAGATTAATGATCTTTGATTTGTCACACTGTTGTAAAGTTTCTGCAGAAGTTGTTTATTTACTCCCCTCTCCATGAGAACACATAGGAGAGAAACCTCTTGTGTCACTGAGTAAGTGATATTTCCCCTGAGCAACTTTTAGCTTGCATGCCTTTTACCTCAAATCAAAAAAGATATGTAAATAAATCTTGCTAAATGATAAAAAGCATGGATTTCCCAGTCATGTAGACTGCTAGAAATAAATGTGAGGTCAGTAATTAGGTACGCCTGTCTGTAATATATTTATGTATTCATCTCACTCCTGGTAATGTTTCAGTTTCCTGTTTCTGTTTTTCACTCTTGTCTCTTCTTTTTCTTATTTCTTTCTAATTTGTTTGATTGTGGAATAGTACATGCATTTTGTTAGCTACTTTAAATCTTTTCTGGAACAAGAGAGGTTATAAGTTGTTTTTAAAATATTGTGTTCAGAACAGACAGAGACATCTCTATCAAAGTTAGAGATGATTGCTAATACTTCCTCATCTGCTGAAAAGACCTGGATGATCAATGGTTCAATAGATCCAAATAGTACAGGCAGTAAGATGTTCTAGAAAAGTGTGTTGGACTTGATTTCTGAAGAGCTGCCAAAAATAATTCCAGATACGAGTTAAGATGTCCTGGCTGCCCCCCAATCTCTGTGGCTTATTTTTCATGCATGAAATTCTAAAACTGAGTTCCCATCATTAATTGTCTTCCAGTGGTATTTCAGAGTAACAAGTTCTTCTATTTTCTGCCTTGTCAAAATGCAGCTTTCCAATCTATGCCCTTCTCCAGCAAGTCATGGGAGCAGAAAATAAGCATGGAACCAGAAGGTTTACTAGGTCAAGGCCCACAAGTAGCAAATGTCTCTTCTGTCTGCATTTCATTGGTCAAAATTTAGTCATACAACCACATTTAATTGCAGTAAAGACTGGAAATTATAGTACTACTGTGTACTTAAAATAAAAAGAAAACAAGTTTCATGAGCCATGCGGTTTAACACAATAGCTGGAATTTTACAGGAGGGATAAAAAATAGATCTTTGGTTCTAAGTCTTACTTACATGTATGTCACTTTTTAAAAATATCTATTTTATTTCTAAAATTAAATCTTTTAAATAATAATAGTAGATTCATTTGCAATTGTAAGAAATGAAATAAACAAGCCCAGTGCACTTTACCTAGTTTCCCCAGTGGACCAGTTTGTTGTTTCCATCAGCAATGTGTGAGTGATCCAATTTCTTCACATATTCACTAGCATTTGGTTGATCCATTTTTTAAAAAATTTAAGCCATCCAGTAGATATATAGTGATATCTTATTGTAGTTTTAATTTACATCTCTGTAACAACTAGTGATATTGAATGACTTTTCTGTATTTATTTGATATATATTTATCTTTTTCAGCAAAATCTCTCTCCTTGTCTTTTGCCTTTTTTTCAATGGATTATCTTTTTTTTAAACTGTTGAATATTTTCCACATTCAGACAGTAGGGTTTGTAAAAAAGTTTTTCTTAAATATTTCCCTTTGTAGGGGGGTGACTATAAATAGTATTGTTTCTAATTCAGTTTGTCCATATTCTTCTGTTAGTATTGAGGAAGACTCTTATGGACATGACATTCTATCTTTTGCCTCCTATCTAGCCACATAAGAATGGGCCTTAAGCCTGAAATGCTTTCTTACTGAGCAATAAAGGGCCCTTACAGCCTGTGTGCCTGTTGTTGCTGGGTGAGTTTCTATACTTTGTCAATTAGATTATATTGGATGATTGTATTGATAAGATCTGTATTTTTTGCTGATTTTGTCAAATTTATGAGTGCAATGTTACTCATAGTAGTACCTAATTATCCTTTTAATAGCTATAAGATCTGTAGTGATTGCCCTATTTCATACCTATTTTGACTGACAGTTCATGTTTCCCTCTTTCCTTTCTTTTTAATTTTTAATTTTATTTATTTTTCCATTAAGTTTATTGGTACATTTAAGGTAAACAATACAGTTAAATTCATCATTGGGATCTTGTACCTTTAAGTGATGTTTCTTGGTTCTTATTTTTTCCCCATTCCCCTGACCTCCCTTTACCCCCTTCACCCTTCCCTATTTACAAAGACTTTGTTTCCATTTTTCCTTTTTTCATATTTTTTCATCTCCCTTATTTCCTTTCCCCTACCCTTCCCATTTTCCTTTCTCCTTTAGACCTTTTCTTCCTATTTCACACTATCAATTATAACATTTGAACCTTACTTACACTTTTAGTTTTTCACATTTTATTTTAGTTTCTAAGACAGGGTCTTGCTACATAGTTCAGCAAGAGCCTTGAGCTCACTATGTAGTCCTGACTTTCCTCTGCTTCCCAAGTGTTGGGATTACAGACATGTGCCACTGTGCCCAGCATCCTTTATTTTTAAAAAACTAGTGTTTTATTTCATTGATTTTTTTTCCTCTTTTTAATTTCATTGATTTTTAAATCTTTATTATTTCTTTCTTTCTGGTTGTTTCAAGCTTCTTTTGTTTTCACTTTTAAAATATAAGTATTTAATAGTACAAATTTAACTGTCAATACCACTTTAGCTGCATCCTACATATTTTCATTTTAACGCAGTTTTGCCTATTCTTAAAATTTCCATTGAGACTTGCTTTGACTTAGAAGTAAGAATTGTATTGCTTAAATTCTAAGTATTTACAGACATTTGTCTTTCTGTCATTGACTTCTATTTTGATTTCATAAGGATTATAGACATATCCTATGATTTTAATTATTTTGAATGTATTGAGGTTGGTTTTATGGCATCGGACAAGGTCTATCTTGATAAATGTCCTATGTGTGCCTGAAAAAAAACATTCGTTCTGCTGTGGCTCAGTGGAAATTTCTGTATATGTCAAATAGATCTTATTGATTGTGTTGTTCAGATGTTGTTCACCTTGATCAACTCTCTGTCTGACAGTCTTTACTTCCTTAGATGAGCATGCTGTTGTTGCTTTGTTTGTGGTACAGGGGATTGAACTTGGAACCTTGCACTTGCGAGGCAGGTGGCAGAACCACTGAGCTAAATCCCCAGCCCTAGATGAGCATTCTGAAATCCATACTTCTAATTGTGGATTTATCTATTTCTCCATTATCCCTTCATTATGTCTTCATGGGAGATTGATACCTTTATGCAAGTTCCTTTCTGACACGTAAAGTGTTACCAAAAATATGATGAATGATTAAGTTTTAAAAACATCATTGTCATAAAAGACACATGGTCATTAATCCCTTTCAAAATACTCTTTTGAGTATCTTTAGATGTGCTGTTGTAGCTACCCTGATGTCCTGAATTGTTTAAAAATGTTTACTTTTCAAGGTCTTTCATAACTTTGAGGAAAAGACAGAGCTTGCATTGTGCCAAACCTGGTGAATACGGCAAATAAGGATACACTGTAATGTTTTTATTCTCCTGGCTTTTATTGGCGAGCACTCAGTAGAAGCATTCATTGAATTTAGATCACATCTCATAAAGACATGCACAAAAGAAGACTTCCACAACTACTTCAGAAAGTGAAGAATCAGGGGCTTTAAAATGAGGGGGAGTACCTTATGGGAGACATTGACCATGTGTTTTTTACTATAATAACTGTTTTTTAAAATTTAAACACATTGTACTTTTGATTAGCCCATATATATATATATATATATATTTGATAATATATGATATATATACTTTGATCTCTATCTGATATTACTATAGCCTGCCTTTTACGAAATCATATTTACATGGTATATCTTTTTTGTCCTTACCCTTTTGACCTATGCCATTGAATTTGAAGTATGTTTCCTATAAATAATCTGTCCAAATACATATCATTGGTTCATGTTTTCTGCATTTATCCTACTCATATCTACTTTTTAGTTGATGTACTTGGATAGTTTATTTTCTTTTTTTTTTTTTTGTACCAAGGATTG